AAAAATATTGCATCTATCTGTTCCACAGGTAATTTTTTGATACCGTCAATCACAGAGTCTGGCGAGGCAATGTCAAAATATAGATTTAAAATTACACTCACCAGCTCGACGATCTGTTGGTAATTGTTCGTGACGCAAATTGTGAAGTAAAAACTTCTTTGCAGCAATGTTGAGCCAATCATGAAATGAGGGAAACTGGATTCGCCTGTCAATACACTGATATTTATTGAGAGACAAAACGGCCGGAGGATTAACAAAGCAACTCGCACTGTTCAATGCAAGCTGCCAAAATTAACTCTGCCCACACAAAGACGGAAGCGCTCGAACCTGGTCTCTGAGAAGGGGCGGAGCCCAGAAACGCGGGCCTTTACCCCAATCGATTACAGATGAACAGACAAAGAAACTCTGTCTGAGCGGGCAGTAAACCCTTCCCCCACACAGAGAAAGAGTAGTCACTCATGTGAAGTTTCTCAGGTCAGCTAAGCATCAGACTAAAATATTCCTTTACAGATATGACCAATCTGGAAGGGAGACGTGTATATGGGGAGAAGTGGAAGGAGCTGGATGAAATGCATTTACATGCGTATTTGGGTCTCCTCATCCTGGCTGGGGTCTACAAATCCAAGGATGAATCGACAGCCAGCCTGTGTGACGCAGACACAGGCAGGAATATATTTCGAGCCACAATGTCTCTGGGGACTTTCCACATTTTCTCAAGAGTGATCCGATTTGATAATCATGATACAAGAGCTGGCAGACGTGAGAGAGACAAGCTGGCAGCTATAAGGACAGTGTGGGACAAGTGGGTAGAGCGGCTTCCACTTCTTTACAACCCAAGACCTAATGTCACCAGTAGCGTGGCGTGGGGAAAAAATTAGGGGAAGCCAATAATACGTCCTTTCTTTTGAGTCGGGGGTGTGGTGGTCAATGTAATAACGTAACCAGATGAGTGATTACAGCACCCGGTATCGTTTTACACACATTTGTATCATACAGATGCAGGACTTACACACGCCTGTTATCTAACCGACAGGTCCGCACACACTCTCCAGCCCAAACTCTAATAAGCATTCATTCACAAACTAAATCAGGAGACCTTTAATGTTTTACGTCCGATTCGCTCCTTTTTTCCTCTCTGTACACAGCTCCAGTTTGGGCATTGGCCTGTCATCAGATTGTATTTGTTGTTGCTGCTGTAGCGGAAGTTTAGTACAATTATTTTTGAGGAAATACTCCAAATCTCCACCCTCCATAATTGCACTTGCTTCAGTTGCTTGCAACTTTCTAACGGCGGTGAGAGTGATGCAGTGACGCTATCTATCTTCTATCGATTAGATTTATTATTCGAAAATTATAAAAGTAGGGTAGACATGTGGATATTATCCGACTGAACACAACGTGCATTTATCTAACAGGTTCGTTTTCCACTGACCTTATTTCGAGCTATTTTCCTAAATCCAATGGAGAAATCCCATTGCTTTTTTGTCGAGGGAAACTGAGAGCAGCTTACTTCCGGATTTTAGGACGCGTCACTGCAACACTAAGTTGAGACGATTTGATTGGATTGTGAGGCAAGGGAAGCCAGCTACCTCAGGCTTCCCGTGGCATGGCCCTGACCAATCACAGGTTGGAAGGGGCATCACGTGAGCCTCATCTGATTGGTCAATCCCTCAATTTTTTTTCACCAAAGGAAGCCAATTTCGGCTAGCCTCCTCTCGCAACAGAGAGTGCCATCTACTGTTTCACCATAACATGTAGAGGGGCGCTGTTTCACTCTTTGTAAAATACTCAATGAGAATGGGGGAGAGACGGCCCGGCAGCAACACACAGCAAAGGAGAATTACCGAAACCAAACGAAGTGTTTTTATTTATTTATTAAAATTATAACTGCAATCCGAAAAAACAGGGGAAGCCTGGCTTCCCTTGGCCTCCGGGAGAAAACGCCACTGAATGTCACAGTGGATGAAAGGCTGGTGGCATTCAGAGGTCATTGCCCGTTCAAGCAATACATGCCTTCGAAACCGGCAAAATATGGCTTGAAAATATGGGCAGCATGTGATGCAAACTCCAGCTATGCATTAAACCTGCAGGTTTACACTGGAAAGCCAGTTGAAGGAGCCCCAGAGAGGAATCAGGGCATGAGGGTTGTGCTCGACATGGCACAGGGTCTCAGGGGTCACAACATAACTTGTGACAATTTCTTCACGTCCTACAACCTGGGTCAGGAGCTCCTGAAGAGAAAGCTAACAATGGTTGGAACTGTACGAAAGAACAGAACGGAACTCCCTGCCGAAATGCTGGTGATCAAGAACATGGTCCCTCAATCCTCCAAGTTTATGTTCACAGATACCACAACCCTACACACACACACACACACACACACACACACACACACACACACACACACACACACACACACACACACACACACACACACACACACACACACACACACACACACACACACACACACACACACACACACACCTATATTTGTATTTATTCATGTTAGCAAACTATGGATAAGCTTAAAATGGGAATAATTTGGGTAAAACTGTGAGCTGCATTTGGGGCCTGTTGACATGTGTTTTTGAGGACAAAGGAAGATGGGGGAAGGTGAGAGCATGTCCTGATTTGCATTCAACTTAGAACGAGCTACAGTGGTTGTGATGTTAAGAGAGGTCCCTTGGGTTTCTCTGGTGCTTATCAATAGTAGCAGTTAAGTGAATACTGTTCAAACAATACCTGTGTTTGTGTTTTATATTGATTTCTCTGTTTTATCCTTTCATAAATGTAAGGACTACAAATGGCTATAAACATTCTGGGCTGGTTGGAGTAAACAGGGTTTTATTGCTCTGTGGGGGAGGTGTAGGTATGCAGGCCTTGAGACCTTTTGTTGGAAAGTGAGCCTGTTTGGTTTCCTGCTGCGTTTCCTGCTGCGTTGCGTCTCCCAATGAGATGACCTGAAAAGATGACCAGCTGACCTAACACCAAACCCCTCCTTCTTACTCTGGTATATATCCGGTGGATCCCTGGCGTTCGGCCTCTTCTTCACATGCTGCCCTCGGGTGAAAGTAGCTCTGCAGTATGCGGACTAGGGCAGGAGTAAGCCGGCATTACTCCTTAAGCATTGCAATATAACTGTAATATATCATGTTGTATTGTAATGATTGTATTGCATTGTCATATTGCCATTAAAGTAGATTATTGTTAACGGTTACTTTGTAGATATGGATTCCTTCCTGTATTATAACCAGCTTCATAGGAACGCGCGGAGATTTGAAAAGCGGACCAGTTATCCCTCCAAATCTCCAACAAAACACACACACACACACACACACACACAAACACACACACACACACACACACACACACACACACACACACACACACACACACACACACACACACACACCTATATTTGTATTTATTCATGTTAGCAAACTATGGATAAGCTTAAAATGGGAATAATTTGGGTAAAACTGTGAGCTGCATTTGGGGCCTGTTGACATGTGTTTTTGAGGACAAAGGAAGATGGGGGAAGGTGAGAGCATGTCCTGATTTGCATTCAACTTAGAACGAGCTACAGTGGTTGTGATATTAAGAGAGGTCCCTTGGGTTTCTCTGGTGCTTATCAATAGTAGCAGTTAAGTGAATACTGTTCAAACAATACCTGTGTTTGTGTTTTATATTGATTTCTCTGTTTTATCCTTTCATAAATGTAAGGACTACAAATGGCTATAAACATTCTGGGCTGGTTGGAGTAAACAGGGTTTTATTGCTCTGTGGGGGAGGTGTAGGTATGCAGGCCTTGAGACCTTTTGTTGGAAAGTGAGCCTGTTTGGTTTCCTGCTGCGTTTCCTGCTGCGTTGCGTCTCCCAATGAGATGACCTGAAAAGATGACCAGCTGACCTAACACCAAACCCCTCCTTCTTACTCTGGTATATATCCGGTGGATCCCTGGCGTTCGGCCTCTTCTTCACATGCTGCCCTCGGGTGAAAGTAGCTCTGCAGTATGCGAACCAGTGCAGGAGTAAGCCGGTATTACTCCTTAAGCATTGCAATATAACTGTAATATATCATGTTGTATTGTAATGATTGTATTGCATTGTCATATTGCCATTAAAGTAGATTATTGTTAACGGTTACTTTGTAGATATGGATTCCTTCCTGTATTATAACCAGCTTCATAGGAACGCGCGGAGATTTGAAAAGCGGACCAGTTATCCCTCCAAATCTCCAACAAAACACACACACACACACACACACACACACACACACACACACACACACACACACACACACACACCACACACACACACACACACACACACACACACCACACACACACACACACACACTCTTAATTGCTGTTACAATAAAACACTTTCAATACAAATCCTTATGACTCATTTGGCTTGATTCTAAGTGAACGGGTCAATTTGACTCTGAACAGAAGAGGTGTCTCGTCTCTATTTATCAACATCAACCAATTGTAAAAGAAGTTGGAACATTTTAAAATTAATTTAAAACATGTTATGTTATGCAAAACTAATGTATTTTACATCAAGATTTTTCCAATGTAAAAAAGAAAATAGAAAAATATGTTTGAATGTATATGTTTTGAATGTTTTGAGAAAAACGAGTGACTTATTCTAATGGAATCATGATCTGTGAGGGGTGAATAACACAATTGCACTAAATATTGATTTCATTGATAGTAATAAAAGGTACAAACTTCTGACCATTTTTGGATAATTAAACATGCACTGGGTCAAATTGACCCACGAATATTATTGCTGATACAAAAAACGAATATAACAGGAGGGTTAACAACTCTGAAGACGGTAGGTCAGGGAAAACACAGACTTTGACATAAAACGTTGTCAATTTAAACCATTTTCTTTGCAATGCAGCAGAACTGTAGAAATAGAAAAGGATGTAAATCACAAAACAAATGATCAGGTTTCTTATGCTCTTCTTCTTTGGTCATCTGGCAGGAGGACAAACATGACGTGTCCATCCTGAAGATGTACAGCTCCTTTATCCCCAACGGCGGCGCAGAGCCTCACCTCAACACCCCTGTGCACCCGGGCCTGCCGCTGGGAGACCCCGAGCTCAGCCTCTCCCAGGTAGGACAGCCTGCTTACACAAGTACTACACAGAGGACTTTTTGGCCCCTATCTTCAAGCTTCCTATAGCTTGTTGGGGACTCCCAATTAACACGTCCCCATTGTGTCGTATGATTGAACTTGTATTTTCATTTACAATTGTGAATTAAAAAAAGAAATCAAATGAAAGATGTTATTACATTTAACTGAAAGGGGCACTCCAGTGATGTTACACTTAAAGGTCCTCCAGAATCTTTGGGAGCAGTCCTGTGTTATCAGAAAGAAATGACTGAATCACAATAGTTCAGCCTGTGTCAAAACGGTTACAAATGAAGAGGATTAATATTATGTTGAAATAATAATAACTATTTAAAAAGTCAGAATTTGAAATGTCATAGAAAGTCATTAAAGAAGTCATAGTATAGTAGGTCATAAAACGTCTTAAAATAATGTGTTATAATATCCTAGTTTGGTATGTCAAAAATAAATGTTGTTACATACCATGAAAGAGTCATAGTTTTATTATTCATTAAAACGTGATAAGATTATTAAAAAGTCATATCAAATTTCATTCAAAAGTAAAAAGTCATGGTGGAGGATGCTATAAAAAAAGGTCTGCATGGTATCTTATAGAACATATGAAAATAAGTGTTCTACAAAAAAAAGACAATTCCTTTTTCCTGTAATGCACGTAGACAGAAACACGATGGTCTTATTAATGAGTCATTTCTAATAATGGGTATAATCTCTGTTAAGTCTCTGTCTCAGGGAGATGGAGATCTGTCCGGCCTGCCCACACCTGTCTCCACCCCCGAGCTCCCCATCAAGAACATGAAGGCCCTGCGGCACCATCAGTATGAGAGGAACCAGAACTGCAACAACGCGGCGGACAGCAGCCACAAACCTACGCCGTGTGGCTCCACATCCAGTCTGGGTTTCATGGCTGTTGTCAGGAACTCTATGACACAGCAGGTGTTCCCCTTCTCTCATCACCATGGCAACAGTTTGAACAATGTAGCAGCACATGGAGCCGCTACCTCTTCAACTTCACTGCATCTGCCTGATGAAAGGAACATCTTGAATGATGAGCAGGCAGCAGAAGGCAGAGGACTACCTCATCACCACCTCTCCCAGCAGTCCCTGCCCCAGAGAGGGGGGGAGCAGTCCGCGCTGGACGAGCTCCTCAAACACATCCACGAGGTGAGCGCGTCAGGAACCGGTGGCATCAAGGTGCTCACCTCCACTTCCTCATCTGGAGCACATCATCTTAATCACCACCCTTATTATAATAATAATCCCCACAGCCAGACCAGCACCCACTACTACAGCCACAGCCATCACCATAGCAACCACCACAACAATAACAGCAGCAACGGCGTTCACCATCAGCAGCAGCAGATCCCTGAGAACGACCCAGCTCCATATTACAGCACCTCCACTCTGCCAAGGGATGCTCCCACTCAGAACTCCTCCTCTTCTGCTTCTTCTTCCTCGTCATCCTCTGACAACCCCACCTCTTCCACCTCCATCCAGTCATCCAACTCTACTTCCTCCTCAACGGCACTCCAGCAGCAGGTGATTCCAGAAAGACCAGGAAGAACAAGTGTCTCAGTCACACGCCACCACTCCCAGCGCCACTTGCTCATTAAGATGGGCAGCGGGGGCCGTGCCGTGCCGCGTCACCACAGCTTCAACCAACGGACGCCGCAGCAGGCACACTTTTTGGCCAGGATGAACACCAACAGCAGCAGCAACGGCCCTCCAGGCGACAGCATGGCGGCCGACATGAGCAGAAATGCCTGTTGCGAGAGGCAGGGGCCTCCAGTCGCCAGCGCCTGCCTGACGCGGCAGCACAGTTACAGTGAAGGGCCACATGTGCAGCGGGCGGCAACCGTCCGGAGAACACTCTCGCTTAAACCCGAGGTCCCGCCAAAACCGCTGTTCCTTCCAAACACAGCAACATCATCAATGGCAGAGGCATTCAGATACTGAGACTGTAGGAGGCTTCTTCAGTCAGCACTTTGAATTGTCTGCAGGGAGTGTGAGATATTGCTAAATTGATGCAACGAAAGACACAAAAGAGTCCTAATTAAAACCCCTTCAGTTGTGGTTACTTTGCTGTTGCTTCTCTTAGTCCAAACCCCAGCACTGTGACTGCTTTGCTCACAAAGAAGAGACTCTGAGGATCGACCGGCAAACAAGATCTTCAAATAAAGCACGAGGGGACTGCTAATGGCAACCTTCTCCTCACCACAGACTGCGGATAAAAACTGGCGAGTCTGAAAAACATTCCAGAAGCAGAGTGAAAGATGTTAATGATTTAATACAAATCCATGATTAATGCAGTTTTCTTATGAGCGCTTTGATATGCTGTCCGGATTGCACCTTGGCACAGCGCCGGATTTGATTTGCAAAGATTAATAAAGTAGGGAATTGTACTGTTGCGGCCCTAACATGAACTGAATCTGGGACTGTGGGAGTGTTCACTCTCCTTTTCTGTGATTGGTACAAACCCACTGAAATTAGGTTTTTGTTATCATGTTCGATGGAGCTTTTAGAACATCAACACATCAGCATAGGAAAAAGACGGTTCTGCTTCATGAGCTGTAGTCAAAAATGTAAATATGGGGATCCAGTTAAGAGCAGCTGCCACTGATAGTACATAGTGAGTCCATATTGGGATCTGAGACACAATTACAACCTAAATGGAGCGTTGGATGTTAACTTAAAGGGGACCTATCATGCAAAATGCACTTTTTGTATGTCTTTATACATAAATATGTTCCCGATGTGGAGATTTGTCACATTTTTCATGGGCGAAACCCATACTCAGCTCTGCTGCTCATCCCACAAATGCATGTTCGTCACAAATGTGGCACCATTTAAAAGGGAAATAAACAAGCTTTCCAGTGGTATAAGATGTATTGCCAAGAAGCATTGTTACAACAAAGGAATAATCTACCAAACACAGATTTCCTTACTTTTTGTGTTTAAATGACTTAATTGATTTTCTTACTAATAAATATTAATATTTAATGTATAATTGTTCTCAAATTACAAAATGTGCCCACTCTCTTTTGCATTTGCCTTTATCTATCAAGAGCTTCCAAAGCTCAGAGCTGACTCTTTATAATGTGATCTATAAGATATGTTTAAAAATATGTTAAAATGTATAAAACTGCATTAAATCCAAGAGGCTGTTATCAATTTATTATTAATATCAATCAAGATGAAATGTTTTCTCGTCCACTGCACTGAGCTATGTCGTTTTGACAGGACTTTTCCAGATGGCGGTAAATCAGAAGGGGAACAGAGCAGGAGAGACAGCTCTTCTGTTTCTCTTACCTCTGCTGCAGCGGGCTTCATTTACATTGTTTTCACAGTACATTTGACCATAACACAGTTTTATCAACTACTGTTTTACATTTTCAACCATAATATAAAAAACAAGCAATACACATTGAAGTAACCATGGTAGCAACACATCTCCATGACCTGCATGATGGTATAGAGCAGTGGTTCCCAACCTGGGGGGCGCGCCAAAGATTGCAGGGGGGGTGTCAGGCCTCAGATGATTTGAGGCCAAATATCATATTTAGACTTTTTTTCCTTTTTTTTTTTTGTACATATAATTGTAAGGCAATACATGATTGTCACTAAAAGCCTTGTCTCTTCTTTACAATAAAATATAACAAATAATTGATTAATTAATTTTAATAAAAATTCAAGTTAGTATAATTGTATAATTCTTTCTTTAATAGAAATGTTTCTTCTGCCCGTAAAGTGTCCAAACCAGGCTTGTCTGGATAAGCGCATTTTTAAAACATACAGATGTAGCGCTTCATTTCAGACAGTTTGAAACGTTGGTACGTGATCTGCCCTCGCTCAAGGGAAAACCTCCAGCTTGACTTGAGACCGCCTCCGTGATAAATACATGTAATTATAATGAAGCTAGCTGCAATGGATCATTGATCCACCAGGGGGTGCAGTGGGGTTCCACACTGGAGCTCATGTGAAATAAAGTCAGATTCAGTACGCTGGATGTACAGCGGAACTTTGTTAAGATCCATATGTCATGGATATCATACTCTGTGCTAAATAAGAGACATGTAATCATTTACAAAACATCACCATGTTGTTATTTAACAAAATAATGTTGTTTAGTCGAAAAAAACGAACGGGAGGAAATGCAGCCCGGCTCTCGATTTGTAATCCTAATTTAATCATCTTCACCACGATCATTTATGTTTATGTTCGCCGAATTGACATGAAATCACTGACAAATATATATATACTGTATTCAACTTCATTAAAACGTTATTAACGTGCCTAAATTCAGTAATTCACTAAAAGTATTTATATTTTAAATGGAGACTCGTCGGCAGATCAGGATCCCAACACGTAGCGGAGGGATCTTGATCAGATGAAGGGTGTTATTTTCCCCATAAGGAACAAGTCGCTGCAAATTATCCCGCTTATTACATGGCCACATTCTCAACAAAGTAACGACATGACTCCCAATATTAATTGAAATGCTTTTATGGATTTAGAAAATGTTTTTATTGATTTAAAAAATAGTTGTATGCAGTGGCGGCGCCAGAGTATTTTTGTTGGGTAATCTATGGTAGGGCTAACCCATACAGTGGTGGGGCTCAAGTCAGTATTTGTAATGTAATTACATACACGCTATACATACACCCCTTGACAGTGAAACGCACGCGTGAGGCTTTTATTAGCTTTTATTAGTCTCCTTTTATCAGCTAAATTACACCGAGAGCGTATCTCTATTGTCATACAAAACACTTTTTCAAATGACCCATTATTACAAAATATATTCAAAACTCACTATTCACTCTTCAGGTGGGTCGTGTGACTCTGGCACCTGTTCGACTTGTACCTCAATGCGAGGGCGTTTAAGAATAAATCTATCCATCCGAAATATACAATTAATCCTAGTTCTGCTGTCTGTCTGCTGCAATTTACTCGGCGCGAGTTTGGGGACTTTTCACTGTGAACGTGACGTATCGACGTATCAGTAATGCATGACGCAGCAGACCCAACGTTTCGTTGCTCTGATTGGCTGTAGGCAGTACTCGAGTTGAGGGGGGATGGCATCCCCCCTGAAATAAAAACGGTCAAAATCATCCCCCTTCTAAAACTGCCATTCCCCCTTTCCATCCCTTATGTAATTTTATCAATGAACGTGGCACTGGTATTACTGCTATTTCAACATTAATTTTGCGCATTTTGAGTAAAATACTGTGGGCACGCACACACGCAATGACATTTTTACCAAGTCACTGACGCTATACTATGCGAGTGCCCTAGAGGGCGCCAGAGCGCCGTGATGCGCCTGTTTGATCGATGCCAGAAGCGCAGGTAACGGTCATCACAATGGCCAAGCAACCAGGAGGACAACGCGATCTGAGGGACTTCATATTTAAAAATACTAAAAATAACATTTCAGGTAAGTCAAGAGTCAGTAATCTTACTCATTACTCACTACTTTAGTCACCAAAGGTGGAATCTATGGACATAAGCAGCAATAACAACTTAGTTTGGAGTTATACGTTTTTCTCTCGTGTTAGCTAGCTGGTAAGACTCAAAACTGTTGATGAAATGATACCACCAGCACCAGAAGAGCTGAAACCCCTCCTTCAAGCAGTGAACACTCTGGTCATCTCCACAGCTGAGTGTGAACGTGGGTTTAGTCAGATGAACATTTTAACCACAACTAGAAGCTCCCTAGAGGTCAAAAGCATGTCAGCCTTGCTTTTCATCAAGTGTTGGCCCTCCACTGAACAAGTTCAGACCAGAGGTATATGTCAAGACTTTGCTTCAAAGCCATTGCTTAGCTAACAATCCGAAAGCAAGAGCCAGAAAAATTGAGAACAAAAAGCATGATTATGAAAATCTTTGGAAACTTCTATGAGATGGGGGAGAGTGGAGTCGGCAGCCATTGACAACATTGGTCCTATTTTGTATTATCTGTATAATCTTTTAATATATTTTCATATTTTGTAAACAATTTCAATTTGCACTTAATGCCCTGTTAAAAAAAGTAACATTGGGAATGTTAACATAAAATATTTGTATTTGAACTGCAATAAAATGATGACGGATCAATATGTTTCTAATTTTCTTCCTCAAATTTTTCATGAAGAATTTAAATAATGATTTAATTAATTATGATACAAATGTAACCCTTGAGATACCAGTTTTGATCGTATACCAGTAACTGCTTTTTTGAAAAAATACACTATAATTCAATATTCTAAAAACTATTTTGACTTTATTATTAATATAATCAGCTGATCATCTGAATAATAAATGAGGGACTGTTAATCTACAAGATTTGTACCATAGACTTCCATTATAACCACATTTTTGTATCCCCTCCCCCCCTTTAAATTAAAGTGAAAAAAAGATTTAGCACTAATTGTCCTCTGCATTTGACCCTAAATGTTAGTGGTGCCATGGCAGCCCGGGGACCGACTCTAATTCTGAGGTGCCTTGGTCAAGAGCAATGACAGGAGTATCTGAACATCCATAACATGCATGTTGTTTTAGGAGTATAATAATTATCTTTATGCTGGTTGGTCTCCCACCCTCGGCGGGTTATCAGCACAAATGATGTCCCCATATGATAAAATCCACCATCCCCCCTGATTTTTTTTTTACAACTTGAGTACTGGCTGTAGGTCTGTTCAAATTGCATTCGGAGGCATTTTGATCTGACCGCGGCCGCGCTGATATTATAATGAGAGAGAATGTCCACACCTTTAGTAAAAAACTCCCCCACTACTTAGACTATTCCTTGCACCCCTCTTCTAGCATAAGCCTGAATGGTCTCAACCATATTGCGTCAGTAACGTGCACTTGTTGTTACAGCAGGATCAGTTTGTGTGTTGTGGACACGACAGGTAGATTTTCGCAATTCGTGTTCTCAACATGCTTACTTTAACATCATTTTTCATGGTCAGGCTAAGGTAGGGCTAAGCCATTTCTTGGTATGGCTGTAGCCTACCCCAGCCATACCCTGGCGCCGCCACTGGTTTTATGTATTGATTTAAATTGACATGCATCCGCTAAGAAAAATAGTCCGTTGTTACTGTTTTTTAAACAGTCTGAATGAAACGGCAGCTGTAACAACAATAACATTATAAATAGTAACATAGCTGAACATGGTATTGCACATTTAGCTTTGAGTGTTACTGACCTGAGATGTTTTTATTACATTAATTAAGCTGACTGAGGCTTTTTAACATAGACAGAACACAACTGAAACATAACATCTGAAACGATGTAACAACATAATACACTTTTGGGGATGCAGCTTGGGATGTGAGGAGTGAGGGACACGGCTTAGAACGGGCGTGTCGCCTACTGGCTATGAGGTGTGATTTATGAGGTGTGACTTGTGCCAAAGAACAGATAACTAAGCTAACTGAGCGGAGCACTGACGTGTCAACGTACGCCAACGCCTCCATCAATTTTGAATGGGTTGACGTAGAATACAGGCGACGTCACGACGATGTCAGACGTCACGGCGACGTATCATAGGTGCGCTCAAAGTACTGCTTAGAAAGTGCTATTTTAGGCCCAATCCCAAACCACTCCCTCGACCCTACCCCTCCGTGATGGAGTGAACTCCGTCTGAAGCCACACTCCCAGCTCAACGAGGCTCCCTCCTGTCAGATGGAAGGAGTAAATACAGCAGCAAGCTTTGGGACGGCCTCCCCTCTCTCCGGCAGAAACAGGAAATGCCGTAACTGTATGTAACAACGGTTTCAAATCAGTATCTCTTTGACAACAAATGTAAATTAATAACTCAAATAAAACTCCAAACATCTTTCATTGTGTTTCAAAGCTCTTTTAGTTTTTAACCTGATGTTTATAAGCTTCTTAGTTTTTGCAACGGTCTGTAAATATACACAACTTTATAATAAAATGCACACATTTACCTTTTTCTAGACTAAACACAGGTATGATCCTAAGTTAAAAACATATGAGGTCATCATGAGGTTGTTAACATCGCAATTTATCAGTGGATGTTTGCTGGAACTACTTGTAAACAGCGTGGTTCCTGACGGACACACACAGCGAGGAGACCGGTCAGGTAGAGACCGGTCTCAAGTCAGCACCGCTGCAGACTCGCTGTTTGAGGGCTTGATAGCCCACTCCCCCTCCACACCGCTCCACA